GGTTAGTCAAATTGACTGGGCCTGTATTGAAAGTGTATGCTCTCCTTGTCCTTTTGGTGATTTAAAGTATTTTTGGTTTTTTACTTTATCAGTCCTATATAAATATTGTGATTTTCAATTGAAAATATATTTGCAAAGTTTTCTAAATAAATTTCTATCTATATTAGGCCTTTAGTAATGTTATGTTACAAGTAAGTGCTTTGAAAAGGTGTGCAACAGTATTATTTTTTTTAATACAAAAAATTGAAATATTAAGAACTAGAATATTCATACCAAGGTTTGTATGGATTTTGGAATGTCATGGAATTATGAATTTTCATTTTCCAGGCTTGGAAAGTTGTACATTTTCAAAAGGGGAGGGGAAGGGGATGTGTTGCCTAAGTTATGTGTATTACACATTATAAGTTCATCTTAAACATTTAGTTTGAAACCTGTTGGTTTCAGTATAGTAATAGTTTAAGTTTGTGAATTTAAGGTACTTTTCTCTTGAAAAACAAGTAATGTTAGCAGCATGGCTCTGTTAATATGTGCAGTTTGTGTGCTAGCTATAAGTGCCCTAAAATGTGCAGTAAACTAATAAAAAATCATGATTGATGTAATGCTAACTGGAGAACTACTAGACATGCATGGAGTTAGAATAAGTTTGAGGCAGTTACAAGAATGTGGTTTACATGGAAAATTTACATTTAAAAATTTTTCAGCTTTCACTTGCATACAAAAGTAGTGAGTCTCCACAACTCTTTTGTAAATGACCTTGTTATGAAATATTGGTATTGGTAATAAATGGCTATAGTAATAAAACCATTTAACAGAAAAAGAAAATAAGTTGAGAAACAAGACATGGACAATTATATTCTCAAGATTTTAAAGTTTTTCAACAAATATATACCTATATACTTTGAGATGGGCAGAAACATCCTAAACAAAAAATCAATTGTGAAAGCTTTATTTAACAATGAGACTTTTTGGAGCTGCATAAAAATGATGATGAAGCTTTTTTTTTTTAATTTTTATTTGGCAAATTATGTTAAATATACATTACAAAATATTATTTTTATTTAAACTTGATATGCACTTAACAACTGAAAGGTTACCACTGGTCCCATTAAGGTTCATAACTATGAAGCAAATTTAATATTATTTAGTAAATAATTTTGCTTCTTATGAATCAGATAGTAACATTAAGATGTTTCTGTGGTCCTCGAAAAATACAATTCCATTCTGGAAATCCCTTTTCAAGTCCTCAAATTTTGTTCTTGGTCAGATGTATAAACCCCGTCTTATTTCTACTACAGAGTCTTGGTTCAGGAGGGTCTATGTGGAATGATTCAAAGGACAAGAATGATGGAAACCACTTCACTACATGGAGCGTTGATGTTTTTGTCCAAGCTCTTCATGAACTAGTATGTGTGAACCTTCCTTTTTTTCCAAAGAAAAAAACACAAGGTTACAGGTTGAGGTTACAGTGCATTGTGTGATATGTATTATAAAAAAAGTATTGATTTTTTTTTCTTTTACAAGTCACAGTTTTTACAGTAAGGAAGAATATTTTTTCAAATGGGTATTGTAAAAGCAGTGACTTGTAAAATAACAAAATCAATAAGTAAACTCCAAAGAAGCTATTGATTGGTTTGTTAGAAAGCCTTTACACATATACAGAATTAAAATAATCATTATCTCTGGGAAGGTAGAAATTTCATGTTTAGTAAATGTAAAGCTATGTTTCTCTAAAGACAACATCAGGTTTTACATTTTTACCTTTTTAATTTTAATGATATCTTAAATACTGAACACTGCTGTTAATTTTATTTTAGGTGCCATCTCTGAATTGGAAAGAAGTGGTGCAAGAACTAGACCATCCTGGTTTTTTGTTAAAAGACAGACAGGGACTTAAACTTTTGTGGCACTCATTGATTAGAGGATTAAACCGTGAGGTTTTTCCATCTGAGTACATATATAGGCACTGGAGGAATTCTGAAGGACAAGTATGTGTCTTAAAAGCTCAAACATTTGAGAGTTTTAGAATGACTTTATTTCAAAGTGTTAGTGAAATTATATGCTATATGCATAACTTTGATAAGCAAGATTTTTTTTTTACAGCTTGTCATTCTGAAAGTTTTGATAAACATTTGGAGATTGGCATATTAATTTCTCCATTATTGGATGAATGAACAAATAGTATTCAACAGTATTTTATCATTTGTACACAATTTTCAAAATATATATATATATATATATATACAGTGATATTGTAATAGCGGGTATAAAATATATATAGAAAATTGTAGCATGCTCACTTAAGTAAATAAATACTGAATTTTATTATACACATATATCTATATATGTATGTGTGTGTTTGTGTGCATGTTAACTTGTACATCTTAAAATATGTTGTTAATAATTTGCTTGTTTTCAGGGTTGTATTTTTCTCATAGAAAAGATTATGTGCATGCAACTGCTGCATAATTTCTTACAATTTAAATATAGTTGAACACATTCAACCAAGTTTTGCATGTTATGGTAAATGAATAGTAATGAGAATTTTATCATAAAGATTTATCACATAAGTAATTGATCTTATTGTCTTTTTTTTTTCTTGTAGCTATCATTATTTCAACAAATTTTAAAGAACTCGGATTTATTGTGCCTGTTGGATTATAACTGTCACACTGTTGTAACTGATATTTTAAAAGCACCACCAGAGGATGATAACAGGGATATTTCTAATTGGTAATGATCTTTTTTTTTTAAGGTATTTTCATTTTAGAAATAAACTAATAAATTTTTGAGGACATATCTGGTTTACAGGTTTCTGCACATACTTAACAGATATAAACTGTTTTAAATGCATGAATTTGCAGCAGATTTTTGACTTAATTATTTGTAAAAACTTTTTTTTAAAGTAAATCAAGAAAGTATAATTAAATTAAGAAATGTGACGAATTAAACTTTACTTTAGAAAGCTGTTTAAGCCATATGTTATACAAGATTATTGTTACATGATATTATGAAATTGGATGTTTGTAAAAAATAATGTATAAGAATTTTGAAGTTTTGGTCATCTGTGTTGTAGGAAGTCACTAGACTTGATAGAAACACTGCTTCACCTCTCGGATGTAAGCCAGTGTGGACCAGTGCAAGAACTGTTCAAGTTCCCTGTCCAGCATTGTCCTGATATATTGGTACTGGGGCTTCTGCAGATTTCGGTATGCCATTAACCAACTTAGTTATACAAAATATAAATACTTTAACACTCTCAACACGGGATCGGTTAATTTGACTGAGTCACGTGACCTTTTGTACTCATTTAAAGTTGATATGAATTTAATACTTATAACTCTCTATATATTGGGTATATCTTTACAAAATTTGGCAGTCTTTCAGTTAATATTACAAGTCTTTCACATACAAAAAGTAATATTTGTTAGTGAAGTATTTTTAATAAAATAAAGTATTGTCCATGAACATATTGAGTATTTGTTTTGAATAGTCCGTGTGCAAAGTAATTTTCATGTTAAAATTAAAAATACCTTTTGTCATATCAAAAATCTCAAATTTCCTTTGTGTAATCCCTAAAACCTCCTAAATGCATTTCAAACGTTTATTTTCACTAAATCCCTATAGTTTATCTGTTATTATATCTACTCTATCTCAAAACGGGATTGGGCAATTCGACCGACCTCGTAACCACCAAAAAAAATCTAAATAAACCTAAATTAACCTTTTTTTTTAGTATGACTTCAAATTGTAACATGAAACTACATTCATTTATTCCAAATAGCTCTAAGTTCGTAACATTACACATCTATATATAATTAAATTTTATTGTTTTATTG